TGACTTGAATCCTGATCAAATTCCTGTTGTCTCTGCTTTAACCTAGAATGATCATATCTGCCTAGGTTGATAGAGTATCCTTAATCGAAGGTAGTGAATTGGTGACTTTAGTCGAGGAGCCAATCACTATTCTGTACCGAATTCCATTCGGTAGTGGAGGTTTTGTTCATAGGGCCTCAATCTGTTTACTCCGGTGTAGGTTAGTCGCCAGCTAGAGACTCAGATTGAGAGGGTCTGAAGACCTTTAGTCGAGACTTCAGACTGATTAAGAACCTTCCGCAGTATAACTTTCATAGAAATCGAACTTGGCAATTACAATCCGGCTTAACTGCAGACTAGGGGGAACCATATCCGGGTGACCTCTCTTAACCTGAATACAACCGTTTAGTTGCTTTGCTTGCTTGTTAAATTAGACCTTCACTAAAGTTTCCTCGCTAGATAATACGAATTCACTGAGTAGTCATCACATCTAGGACCCGGGTTGACTTAAAAACCCAAACCCGCTATACTACGCTTTAGGAAGTGGTTACACTTGGCCAGTTTCTAGAGTGACAGTAACAGCGAGTCATTAACCCATACCATTATGATAAATTTTTGTTAGGTGAATACTTTTATTCTAACCGTAAGATAATTGTCTTAGTTGCATGTATTTATGTTAAGGGTCAACTATAACTATGTGTTGATTGTTATGTTTTATTCATTACTAGAGTTGGGCCCGCCCGTTGGCCGGATGAATTACATCAATTAATATAATAATAATAATAATAATAATAATTATCTGAATCATTTATTTGATAACATGAAAGAACTCAAATTAGTCAATTACTAAAATTATAAAAAATAACATATATATTATAATATCTTGATCATTCATGGACAAACGTCCTTATAAAAAACAAACAACATGTAATTGATTCCTAAAAAAACTTAATATTCAATAAGCATTTCAATTACTCTCTGTTGTTACAAATTACTACGAAATTCATTTTGGATTTCTTTTTGATTGCTCCGACATCAAAGCATTTTCTCCACACAACTTCATCTTTATTAATAAAACTTTATATTCACCATCAATAGTCTCTTCCTTCTTCTCCTCTATTTCATTGCAAGCTAAATTTTAATGATAAAATGTTTGGAAATGTGAATCATCTTTTCACAGTAGTAGAATTTCACCTCACACACATCATAAATATTATCAACCATTCGCTCTTTACCCAGTAAATGTCATAAATTTTGCCCGAGATTGCACTTCTTCGTACTTCTTTATGTTCAAAATTGTATACCCACTTATGGGGTTAGCGATGTTGTAATCGATGAGCTTGATCTAAAAATTTAACTTCAAGCTCTTAGTTTGTATGAGATGAGAAACTGAATGTTCTTGCATTTTGTCACTATCTTTGAGTAGTTTCTCAATAGAAATTTTTAAAAATCTAGCTCTCTCACGATATAGGGTAATAAAGTTAGATTAAACAAATGTTGTCTACAACTCACATCTAATCCTGAAGTTCAAAAATATAGAAGGTTCTTGGTTACGATATTTTTTCTATAATGAATGAACTTAAAGTTAAAAACAACAGAAGAGTAGAGGTAGATTGTTACCTAACTACTAATTGTCTTTGATGTTGTTGTAAATTCTTATAAAAATACTCGTCATATAGTTTTCTTCAACTTTTCTTTGGAAAGTTTCAATTAATATGGTTTTTCTTACCCATTTAAAATCATAGTTGAAATGAATGAGATATAGTCCGCTAAATTTGTGAGAAATTGAAAATCCCTTAAATATAGCTCTTGAGATTTGTGCTAGCTGTAACTAAAGAAGGTTTTGCACCAAAATTTCTTCCCTTTTACTTGGCTGTTTGAGGATCTAACTCGAACACTGTTTTGTCAATAAGATTACTCTCTGAGGTGAATATATTTTTGAGGCTCGGAATCAATAAATATAGTACTTAATAACATTATGAATTAACTTAAAAACTCAAAATAATATTGAAACAGTTATAACATAAAAAAATATGTTAGTGTTGTCAAAGGAGTTTTGATAAGAATTATCATCTTACTAATATAACTCTCTCATTAATATTTGATAAAAACCAAGGGAAGGTATAAAAAATAAAGCAATGGGAGTTGTCGATTTGCCGCTATGGTAAAAGAAAACTATACATCACAACCATAAATCTAAGGTAGTATGATCTCATAATTTTTTATCGTTACCTACAAAAAGAACCTAAGAAGAAATCATCTAGCTGCTGGGTTTAAATTATGAACTTCTAGTCTGTAGATTGACATTGCGGTTCACTCTCTTTGCTAAAAATTTGAAATGGAGAAAAGTAACTAAAACTCTACTATCATAGGGAAATCTCTAATGACATGGTTAATGACGAAATAGGAGAGAAAGTTCATAATTTTTTTATGAGTACTAATATCGTTTTTATAAAAATTATTAAATAATCATAAAGACAAAAATGTTTTTTCTTCTTTCACTCTCTAAAAAATGAAAATGGAGAAGTTAACTAAAGCTCTATGGTATATCATGTGGAAGTCGAAGATTGTGTTGATTTGACTTTTGAAATAAATTTTTATAAATCTTTTTAGCACCGCCCTTTTTGTCCTCCAAACTTAATCTTTTTTATGTAAACAACCATATGGTGTACTACTTAAAAAGAGAAATCTTATCGTATCAGCTGATCGTGTTGGAAATATATGATATCAAATTCAAATTGGAAGGCGGTTTAGCGGTAGGAAATGATTGAACCACAGCTAAACCGCATTTTAGTACAAACTCTTACTACCGACTTTTCTAATATAATCTCATGTGCGGTTTCACAATCCTTATTTAAAAGTAAATCTCAAGACACTAAAACAGGTAACCAGAGTGTTCGGTCGTCAATCATCTACATTTAACTAAGTCAAAACACCTTCTTGAATATTAATCTCTTCGCAAGTTATTATACAATATGATTGAATCTATATGCACTTTCAAATAATTTTAACATTCATAAATTATATCGATAATAATGATCAATAATTGAACTTAAACCTAAATAACAATCTCGCAGCTGTAAGAGCATCCACATCGATGGTATTTTATCAATTGCAAATCATACATGGAACTCAAAATGCAATTGCAAATGGGATTGCACCAATGTAGTGGGCACTTCAAAAAATGCAGAGCATCCACATCAAGTATATAATCTATATGCACTTTCAAATAATTTTAACATTCATAAATTATATCGATAATACTGATCAATAATTGAACTTAAACCTAAATAACAATCTCACAGCTGTAAGAGCATCCACATCAATGGTATTTTCTCAATTGCAAATCATACATGGAACTCAAAATGCAATTGCAAATGGGATTGCACCAATGTAGTGGGCACTTCAAAAAATGCAGAGCATCCACATCAATGATATTTGCTCAATTGCAAATTTTACATGACACTCCAAATGCAATTGCAAAGGGGATTGCACCAATGTAGTAGGCACTTGCAAAAATGCAAGCTTACATGAAATGAAATTGAATATGCATGCCACATAGAAAAATAAAAAAATAATTAAACTATCATATATACAATTGATTAATTGCATTGATGTACGTGCAATAAAATAAAAGTGAGTTGAATTGCATAAAATTTAAGATGACAATAAAAAAAGTTATATGCAATTAATTTGACAATTGTATTGATGTGGATGCTCTAAGCCATACTACTTGAGTTAAAATCCATATTAATTTGTTTGACTCAAATTACTCTTTTTCATTGTTCTGCCATGTGTTGCAGAGAAGATAAAAAAAATTTGGTAGAAAAGCCTTGCTCGGATAGTTGGAATGATGCTAATAAATGGAAGGCCAACCAAATACATAATTATGCAACTCTGAACCGAGTCGGTGAGGTAATATATAATGGAAAAGTCTACTCTGCCCTTCCGTGAGATGCGGTGAGGCTCCCAATATTTACTTTAACCCACTCTCTCCGCAGAATCTCCATATATGAGTTGGTAGATATAAATTGTGAATTGATAAGTTAATCAAAAATTTTCTCATTTAATGATAATGTATTTTATATTGGTTAATCTAGTTAACCAATTAACCACACCGATTAAACTTTAGTTTGGTTAATTTGGTGGTTGTATTAGTTTGAACAGTTTGGTTATGATATTGTATTCCATAGTTAATAAAATTTAACCTTATTTAGTTTGGTAATAACCATGGTAACCATTTGAACAGTGCAGCATGAAGTTGGCCAATTCATAGTCGATTACTTAATTGGAGCTCTAACACGAAATTACCAATTCCCGAAAGTGGAAGGTATGCGACATCATAAGGTCTTCACTCCCCCGCAAATCTAATCTACGCCATCAGTAAATACCATATCCAGGTTGGTCATCCTCAAATTCTCGAAAGAAACAACCCGATACCAAAGAGAAGGGGGTACTGCTGACAATTGAACAAGTTTTCATCAAAAGTGAAACCAAAAGAAGAGAACCTGCTCTTTACCCATAAAAATTATCCTCGCCGGAAAACAGAACCCAAACTTCCAAATCTTTTCTACTAAACATTCATCATCTGAGTAGCTGGGGAAATCATCAGAAGTACTAATTCATCATCTGAGTAGCTGGGGAAATCATCAGAAGTACTAATTCATCATCTGGGTAGCTGAGGAAATCATCATCAGGACTAATCATTTCAATCGTTTGTCAGATTCTAAAGGCGTTCTCTTGCACAACAAAAGACTGATTAGTTGCAGAGTACCTTCACTATGGACATTCAGAAGGCACCTTACTGATCTCAAAAGGGTTATTAAAACATCCAAATGATGAACTTTACCACCAAAACCTGAACCTGCACTTTTTTCTACATCTCCACAACATAATCAGGCGACTAAGTACGGAGGAAATCAAAACAGATTTCAAACGAAATGGGCATCACTCAACACCATATTCAGACTTCCCAACCATCAACAAGCTAGAGAACGACTGGTGAAAGTCAATGCAGATAGGCAATCAATAGGGTTCTGCACCAATGCAATTGAAAGCAACCTTCGATTTTAACATTCAACTAAGACACTTTCAGGGGAGAAGAAACTTCGAGCTCTTATATATCACAGAACTGTTTGATCAAAATCCATCCGAAAAACCTAGAAGCCAAAAAATACAGATGCTTTTGATTAGAGCTTGTAAGATGCTCAAAACTCCTGAGAAGCAGATCCAATGTCCCCTTTTCCACCAGCCTTCTTCGGGAGAAGAGTCTGGTGAATGTTTGGTAGAACACCGCCGTTTGCAATGGTTACCGATCCGAGAAGCTTGCTCAGCTCCTCGTCATTCCTCACCGCCAGCTGGATGTGCCTAGGAACGATTCTGTTTTTCTTGTTGTCCCTTGCGGCGTTCCCCGCGAGCTCCAAAACCTAGCCATCAAAAAAATCAAATGAACATCAAAAACAAATCCCTAATCACCAAATCTGATTACGGAAAGAGAAAAGTGGATCAGCGGTAAAGAACCTCGGCGGCGAGGTACTCGAGGACGGCAGAGAGATAGACGGGAGCTCCGGCGCCAACTCGTTCAGCGTACTTGCCGGCTTTTAGAAACCTTGCGATTCTCCCGACGGGGAACTGCAATCCGGCCTTGGAAGATCTGGAAACTGATTTCGTCGCCTTAGCCTTCCCGCGGCCTCCCTTGGTTGTTGCGGCAGCTGAACTCATCTTTCCCGGTCTGAAAATTGATGAAAACTGGAGAGAAACCCTAACCCTAGATTCCGGAGATGGGGAGCGATGAGATTGTAGAGAAGATGGGGAAACCTCGAATGTAGTGTATCGAGGAGAGCGAGTGAGGGGTTTATATAATGTGGCGAGAGTGCAATTTGATTGGCTGAGAGAGCTGTGCGAGGATTGCCAGCGTGGCAAGCGGTGGTGCTTCGCTCTTTTTTTTTCAGGCGGGAAAAGCTTTTCGGGTTTCCAAATATTGGTTTCGAGTTTTCTGATTTCGCGGCCTTGTTTTTGGGCTTTTACTTGTGTCAATGTCGATTAATTGCGACACTAATAAGCCGGTTTATTAGCGAAACTGGGCCTATTGATTGCTCAAGTCTTCGATGGCTTTAGGCCTGTGGGTAGGATGGCAATTTGAATCAGACTATCGGATATTACACCACCTTGTTTGAGTTTTTTTTTTTTTTTTTTGACAAAGCACCTTGTTTGAGTTGGAGTGGGTATTATTTCACTAGTAGTAGCGTAGGATATGATAGGGCACGGGTATTACTTTTGACCATTCTTACTTGTCCTATATCAATTTGTCTCAACATATAGGGAGTAAGCTTGATCTTAACCGATCCGTCCCGACACTCAAGATCGGGGTTGGTTCAGTTTGTTTGTAGGTTTAGTTTAGTATCGATCATCTTTTGACTTTGTGAGGGTTTAGTCAACTTAGAAGCGGGTTGTTTTTTGATCCTGTGACCCATATCAATAATTAGTAATATGAAAATTTTCATACTAACACATTGGACTTGTTTGTAAACTCTTAAAATTTTAGATACTATAATGTAAGGTAAACAATATAGAGTATAAACGTAATTTTACCATCAAAATTTCTAACTATTTGTAAAAAAATAAAGTAAAGATACTAAATTGTATGAAAACAAATTTTGCTACCAAAATTCAATTTTCAAAAAATAAGTAGTGTTGATTTTAGCCGATCCATTAACACGGCCCGCCCCAACCCTGGAGGGCCAGATAGGGTCAAGGACGAAATCGAGAGGGACGAGTCAACTATATAAGTTGACCCTTCATGGACGGGTTAGACAGGATCAGAGTTGGGTCATGCCAATTTTCAGCCATGATATTTACGTATTTGTATTTCTCAAGTTTTGACTTTTCTTCAATGATAATGAAAATTTAAATAGACGCAAGACTTTATTTTTCAACTAATCAGACTCAATTATCCATTCTATGCTCAATATTTTTATTCATGAAGTATTTTCCTTTTATTTATCGTAAATAAATTAACATTTTTGCTTTATTTTATTCAAGAATTACCCAACTTAGCCCGTGTTTAGTGCGAGATGGGTGTGGGTATTGAGATACTTCGAGGTGACTTTAGTAGGAGTGATCAGATGGTGTAGTTATCGTGGTAACCATCTTAATCGGTAGTATTAGGATAATTTGGATTGGTTAATTTGGATAATTGGTTTGGTTTGGTTAAATTTTTAGTTTATTTGGGTTAGGTTGTTTGATTTTGTTTAGACACTTCTAACAAATCAAACCAATTAAACAATTAGTCATATATCTAATTTATTATATACTCATAATTAATACTTTGCATAACCACAAATAACCACTCAAGAGTCACGAGTTTCTCCCTTTTGGACCAATAACAAAAATAAACCTTATTAATATTCTTATATTATATTTTTTTCTTGTAGATTGTAGACAACATACATGCACTCAATTTAGATAAATCTCATACATTATGTTGAATAAAAATGTGAAAGTGAAAGATTTTTTCATCCTTAGAACATGGGTTTGGAGGAGATTCCTGAAATGTAGAGGGCTTGCTTTATCTCATGTTACAAGTGCTCCTCCTCATGTGTTGTGGCAAGGTGAGAAAATGCAAAAGTACTCTGTTAAGAAGGTTTGGGATTCTATAAGGGATCAACCACTAGAGGTGAACTGGGGAAACTTGTATGATCAAAGGAGATAATACCCAAGCATGGCTTTATCCCGTGGCTTGCCATGCGTAATAGATTGGTTACTCAGGATAAGTTATTAGCTTTGGGTAAGTCCCTGTCAGGTTTATGTTTACTATGTCCAGGAGGTTTAGAGAGTCGCAACCACCTTCTGGTGTCTTGCTCGTATACTGTATGTGTGTTGCAGCGATGGTTAAAGTCACTTTCACCGCTAGTTGCAGGGGACTGGGATAGCACTGTAACTTGGTGTGAGTAGAATTGGAGTACAAAGAACCCTAGGCAAAGTTTGTGCAGGTTATTATGGAGCTTGGCTCTAAGTCACGTTTGGCGAGAGCGATGTACCAGGCTATATGGAACGAAGACAATCAAGCTGCCAGGAGAGTTAATGAAAGTAATTCATAGTGATGTTTTCTACAGTGTATGGGGATCTCGTTCTTCAGACTGAATTGGAGTATATAGATAGGTTAAGCTTTCTCCATTATAGTGTTTTTTCGTTGGCAGGGACGTTTGGTTGTAATGGTTGAGAGGCACATCAGGGTTTCCTGATGATTTCGTGTGCTTAATGCAAGTTTTTTTTATTTCGCATAAAAAAGTATATAAATTACGGATTGACGCAATAACAAGATATTTTTTTCTAGGTAACACTATTGTTATGTTATATTGGTTTACTCGATTAACCAATTAATCAAACTGATTATAATTTAGTTTGGTTAATTTGGTTATTATAATAGTTTGGTCACAATTGCTTGATTAATAGAATTTATTTTTGATTAGTTTGATAATTATCATGGTAACCATTTGAACAACTCTAAACTTCAAGCATTGGGATTTGCTTGCTCTTTAAGACTCATACTCATTTGTCCACTAGCCACTTGTCCTATCCTTTGAATGATATCATGGGACCAATGTAATCTTTCCAAATCACATCCATTGTGATATATTTAAAAATATCTTCCACATAATAATCGAACTCTTGAATTTTGCCATCTATACTTTTTCTCTCAATAAACTTTAAACTCTCCCCCTTCACTCTACTTTTTTTTTTCCAAATCTGAGTTAAAAGTGGGTTATCGTCGGTGCCTCCATAATGTTGGTCGTAGCCCCATGCTGCTCATTTTCTATTGCATTTCTGCCTCTTTGTTTTCTCTAGCTTTATGTGCTTCATTTATTGAGCTTTTCTCACCTTTCATCTTGATGGGTGCTTCCTCCTCTTCCTCAAGTTTAACCTTTAGATCTACTTTGAGATGTTTTGTAGGTCAAAGAGCGTATTAAGGTTTTCCTTCATGATTTTGCGCCTCCTCCTTGCTTAACCGATGTTGTTGGTGTTTCAGAGAAGTCTTCAGATCATATTGGGATCTTCCCTCGCTCTCATCCTCATGGAGCTAGAAGGTAGAGATCTCCATCATGGGTTCTTGATCTCTTCCCTGTTGATTGCTTCCGCTGGTCAGATGGTGCACGCCGTTTGGAGAGGTTCTTGAAGGTTTCAACTCGCTCCGCTTGATCTCCAGTGGTTCTTGCTTGGTCGGATTGCCCTCTTCGCTAGTGTTTCATCGTTTCTTCCAATGGTGTTGTGCTTGGTGTGGCTGTTGCTCTTAGAATAGGATGACAGTTGCTCCTTTTGGTGAATGGGAGGGCTTGCTAGGGTTACTTGAAGACATATGTGGTGAGCTTTCGTCTTTTCTTTATATGTTTTTGTGGTCCTTTTCATGTTGGGTTGTATCTCTCCCTTGGGTTTTGGTCCAAAATTTGTGTAGCTCATGGATTTATTTTAATGAATTTCTAATGACCTTAAAAAAAGCATGATCCATGTATAACTGCCGACAAGTTCAGGTAGCCTATCTCTTTCCTGTCCATCTGAAACCAAACCACTTGACATTTTCCCATTAATGCACCTCAATCATATGATAATCAAACATAGCTTCGACTGATTCATTCCATGCAGGTCACTGTCAGTAGTTTGCACGTCTCAATAACTATCCAATCCTAGGCCAAGTTTAACCTAAAATGACATTGTCATATAGTGGCAATCAAGGTCGATGCAACTCGATTCCCGATACCCCAGCCTACTTCCCACATTTATTAACTAGAAGTTCGGTTTAAGGGGGTTTGTGGTGGAGGATTCAACTAAAAAACTAGTAGAGAGAATAAACAAGGATAAAACATGTACTTCGGGGAACTATCCCTCACTCTAACCTATGTCTATCATGTAATGTCTAAATAAGTTGGGTTAAGTGAATGTGGTGAGTGAGCTCTTTTGCGTTAGCTTTCGTGATTATCCACATGCCTCCCCTAAACCCATGTCAGTCACCTCGATCTAGGCTATCGTCTCTGGGGCTTTTAGAACATAGCTCCTTTCAATGGGCACTGCCCACCATCCACACCGAGGTTCCATCTAGGAAGGCATTCTTATGGCAGGGGAACTATCCCTCAATCTAAAAACATATACTTCGGGGAACTATCCCTCACTCTAACCTATGTCTATCATGTAATGTCTAAATAAGTTGGGTTAAGTGAATGTGGTGAGTGAGCTCTTTTGCGTTAGCTTTCGTGATTATCCACACGCCTCCCCTAAACCCATGTCAGTCACCTCGATCTAGGCTATCGTGTCTGGGGCTTTTAGAACATAGCTCCTTTCAATGAGCACTGCCCACCATCCACACCACAAGATCATATTCAATAATCTAACCCTAATTTTCCAGATGGTGCATACCCGTCTAACCCTAATACTCCATACCCAACATAGAAAGCTCAAGTAGGCCAGTAGAGAAGATTAGGGTGACTTACCCAAGCATAATTAAATCTAGATAAGCATTAAAATCAACTAGACAAACACATTCATTCAAAACCCTAAAATATTCATCCATTACATAATAGCCCTAAAACTAGGGTTTGGGGTTTAGAGCCCCTAGTATCTTAAGAGACTACTCCATAAAGGAGGGAAGAAGATACATAGAAGAATTTAGAGAATACTTAATGTTGAGGAAGATGGCTCATCTCTTCTAGCTTCTCTCTCTTCTCTCTCTCTAAACCATGAATTTTCTATCTCAAAATCAGCTCATCCAAAATGGGGGAAGAGGTCCTCTACTTATAGACTTTAGTGGGGGCGGATAAGTTCGCGGCTGAGCAG